AACCACCACAAGGATGCACCGCCCCAGGGTCTTACTCTCGTGTCAGGGGCTAACAGACTAACTCCCTTCCTGTGCCAACTTACCTGACATGAAAATCAAAATTTACAGGATGAAATGTCTGCCCACAATCCAAATACAGGACCTCTTTAAATGGTTTTTTAGTACACATGAAATACGGTTTGGTTGGAAAACTTCAAAACCAGCCTACCCGCCTTCATCCCACCTCGGCCTCCCTCCCTCTACTCCAGGACAAGGCAGGGAGGTTCTTTCTGACACTCCACAGTGCACAAGGCTCATGGCTCCGCTTCAGCCCAAATCAAGACCCAAGCACGGGGGCGATTTCCAGCAGGCTCCACCAACAGCCCGACACACTTCCCAAGCCCGTCCTCCCTTGGGGTCTCACACACCTTTCCACCTCTGAGTCCCTTTCTTAACTCAGGCACTCAGCTGACGTTCAAACTGTCCCTGAGTTAGATCCAGGTGCGGCCGCACCTGCTTCCCCCCAAGCTCCCCACCACACACGTCAGACCTGGCCAGGCCTCTCTGCTTGTCTTGTTTTCAGAGGCTTGCAATGCACACTCTTAGAAAACCTGAAATCCATGAAAACCCCCTTCCCAGGAGTTCACTGGCTTAGCAGAAATGGTTATGAGTAGAAATTCTCCAAGCTGATTCGTGGGAAGGAGGGACAGAAAGTGGAAGAAAATAAAGAGAAGGGCAAACTGTGACTGAGACTTGAATACAGTAGAGGGTAGTTCATGACAGGGCCCAGTCTTCAAAAGCAATAATGAAGTAAGAAGGCAAGTCCCGTCCCCAGGGCTGCCTGCTTGCTGCCGCTGGGAAAGTGACGAAGAAAATCTGCCACGCAACGCAGCAGGAGGGTCCACGAGCTGAAGACCAGCCTGGCCACACAGTGAGTTCAAGGGCAGCCTGCACTACACAGTGAGCCTGTCTCCGAAACCAACCAACAACCAACACTGCCATTCAAAGAATTCATAGCCTGGAGTTGTGAAGGAAATGGAAGGGGAACTCTCACTGCTGAGCACCTACTAGGACCAGGGGGCTAAGAGCAGCACCGCCTTTAATTTCCTCAACAACCCTACAAGGAAGGTCTCACCACATGGTAGGTCAGTGGTGGCACGCGTGCCACAGCGGGCTGTTTGTATCACTGACAGCTCTAAAAGGTTCGCCATCCATGCCCTAAGCTCAGCAATGTTACAGTAGTTTTCTCCACAAAAATTTCAGCTGAATCGAGCCGGGCATGGCATTACAGATCTGTAATTCCTGTGTTCTGGGAGGCCGAGACAGGGTCACAAGTTTGAGCCTAGCCTGGGCAATTTAGCATCTTAGTGAGAATTTGTCTCCAAATGAAAAGAAGGTGTGTGTGCACACAAAGTGCAGAGCTCAGGTCCTGAGTTCAATCCCCAGTACCACAAATAAAAAATAAATTTTCAAAATGGGGGCTGGATAGGGCTGGAGTTTCGTGGGAATGTCCTGGGTTCGGACTCCAGTACTGGGGGTACATGGGCAGAACCAGAGCCGGCTACCTTTTCACAAGTCCACACCTCGGGACAACCTGCACACACCTGGCCTACTGCAAATAGTGGTGAACAGAACCAGGTCTTCTTTGCCACTTGACACTCTGACGGCGCAGGTGCCTCACTTCCAGAAAAGCCCACTAAGATCAGCTCCAAATCCGCCCCATTTCAATGTCTTAGTACAAAAGCTGCTACAGCTGTAATCTCAGAAACGGGGGAAGGGTGAAAAGGCACCGCCAATAACTAAGCAACACATCTAACGACAGAAAACAAACCAGGCAACAAGTCCTGGTGTAAGATTTTCGAAGCGTCTACTCGTCACCTTCAAAGGAAAGAAAGTACTCAGACAGCTGCACTAGCACCATGGCGCTATCCGAGAGAGAGAGAGAGAGAGAGAGAGAGAGAGAGAGAGAGAGAGAGAGAGAGAGA